CTTCCTTCCCTTGTTAGAAATGAGAAGTGTATGAGTTATTGCGGTTGGAATTCAAAACCTGCATTAATTCTGTTACAACCTAATAGCTTTTCTACATTGTTTGCAGTTGAAGAAGAAATCAAGCAATTTTTCTTTCCACCTTTCTCCCCCTTTTCATTGTTCACAAGCAAATGCTTGAAAGTTGTTCTTCAATTAGAAAATTTCGAGAAATTGCGCCATGTTTACAGTTTTACAAGTATTTATCTGAAAAAGTTCTTATGGATGTTAGTGGGATGAGAAACTTACATTTTTTAGAAGAAAAACCTTGTTCGGGCACTAATAACTACATGCTTAGGAAGAATATGTAATGTAGAAAGAAACAAAAATATTGAAAAGGTTCGTATGAAAAAACGGCTGTCTTCAGTATACGAGTTAAAGCTGATTCATTTTTCTTTGAACATGTGTTCAATCAAAATTCATGTTTTGTCAATTCAATAGAATTATAAATTGTGGTTTTATGCCAAAACTTGAACTGGCTGTGTAAGACCCTAATCAACCTAACGCTTCCACATAGCTATTGCAAACATCTAATGGGCAGGAGGAAGTATTAGACGAACCTGGCGAAAAGCCAAAAAACCTTAATTAGCCAATGAATGTATCATCCGTATGTGCACCATCAAAAACATAGGAAATAAATTATTTCCGGGATGTCACATATGTCTGCTAAAAAGCCGTCCGCATGCACATCAGTTTTGGGGAATGTGAAAGCAGCTAAACGTGCTGACATGCATGTGTTTTGCCACTGAGTGAATTAGTGTTTTCAAACAGTGTGCATTGTTTACGCCTGCTGAGCCGTGCCCTAAAAGTTGGCGCGTGGATGGAAAGAGGAAGAGAGCGGAAACAACGGGGCGAAGGCTGTGGATGAGATCAACTATTGTTCGATGTGTTGACAGATACGAGTCAGTCATGATATAGAAATAGGCAGAATGCGAACGAGGGTAGGGGGCGCGCACAGGATATAAGGGTGCATTTTTTAAATTTTTTACAGTAAGTGTTGGAAAATACTGAACTAAGAAAAGTGGAACTTAAAATCGTTTCAACGATTTTTTGCGGAGAAAAATCATCAAAATTTCAAAGAAAAGGAAAAAATTTTATTCATCAAAACAAATTTGTTCGTTCCAGTAAATCCTAGTTGAGTATAAATCTTTAATTCTTCAAAAGCATAAAATGATTGATAATCCAGAGAGTTTTGTTCGTCGTGACGACAACAAGTCGAACAAATGCAAAATGCGCATTTTCTCCCATAATCCTTTCAACGCCCAATAAATTATTCAAATCGCGTTGAAAAGGGAGCACAATGCTTTTAACTTGAGCATTTTTGCCTGTCTTGACTTGGAAGGGGGTAGGCGGGAAGGTGGTCATGCAGGGTTAAATGATGTCCTTTGAACTTGATTTCCTGGGAGCAGCTTTAGCCTATATTTTGGATAGGGATATTTCAAGTAAAGGACTCATAAGACACTACTTCTCAAATCGAAGATAATCTGGTCGCTTCCATCAGCCCAACGAGCCTTAGCACAGCTGGACATATTTTGCATAATTTTTTGGCACTTTTCCGCTATCCAGAAACATTTTTCCGAAAATGGATACTGCCTGCTGTACAGTCAAGTAGATTTTCCGCTTAATATAGTGTGCTTGCACAGAAGATGAAATGCGGTAAAATTTTCGCGTGAACAAATACCTTCGACTGTGACACCGGTCAATTGCGCGCGCAAAATGCCGGCAGTACTCACGTGGCTAATTATTCACGCGCAAATTTCACCGAATTTCACCTTCTGTGCAAGCACACTGTATTAAGCGGAACTCGACTGTACCAAATTTGGACAAAACTCCTCAAGATGGGTCACCTTTCGCCATGTGTCGAAAAAAATGAATGTCATCTACATGTCTGACAGGTTCCAGCATGTTTCTCCATCCTATCTAACATCGTAAGTTCAATCTAGTTTTCAATCAATAACGGCCCCACTTTGATTCAACTAAAATTAACATCCTGTAATCGAAGACCACCATTACATTTGCCTAAAAACAAAGAAGTGGGTTATTGCATTTTCGATCGCTCTTCATTACTGTAGGATTACGATGGGATCTTGCCGCATATGTCGCCACTGTGAATTAGGTCGTCCAAGAAAAATTTTCAAAAAATCTAGAAAATGTTTAACACGTTTTTCATGCGTGTCGACTTTACTACATAACTTTTTGCGCGTTGGCAGAGCTTTTTAAATGGCGTATCGAAGTTATCAGAAAGCATTGTCATGGTGTATCTGGCATACTTATGAGAAAAGCGCTACGGTGATGTGCGATGTCTATATTCACAATCAGCGCTCCAACTTACCCAGTGTAGAAGTTTTCAGCATCTTCACTTTTTATAGGATTAAAACATGAGCCTCATTGGCGCAAAATCCTCCTCAAAGTTTCTACCGTAATCCTACAGTAAGAGAGAGAAAACGGTAATTTTCTCCATAACTGTGAATCTAAGTTGAAGACAGCTCTATAAAAGGGTACCTGAAGCTTCTCGAAAAGCTGCACGACAAAATAGTTATTGACAATCAAACAGTAGGTACATTTTTAGGACACCCTGTATGTTACTTCTGGCTAAATTCGCATGGCGAAAACAATCTGAAGAAGATATTTTTGGGTATTTGCTACAACCACGCATCCCGTAAGAACATTTCTAATGAGTCCAAAAGATAAATTACCCTTTAACATGTGACATGGATGAGACATCTATATACTTCAAATAAGGTACTATATATCCACCAAAATTCTCTACCTCAGCTTGCTTTAACTGCTCTATAGGGCGTACAAATCAAGTATTAGTATAACTCCAACATGGGGTTTATCAATAAGTTAAAAAGCTGATCAGTGATTGTTGTTCTATGCATATCGCACAGCCCAGATCAGTACTAACAACAGCATAAGTTTACATTAAAGAAAATATTCAGAACAAAAATTTAACAGATATAAGGAAAAATTTGCATGGCTCCTATTTTAAAAATCTGGAGGTACTGAATGCGAAAACGGAAAGACTGCATGTAATCGTGTAGCGGCTCTTTTTCTGTAGTGCTTAAGGGCAATGTCTCACCAAGATTGAGGGTGCGCGAATCTTATATATAAAGCTGAATGTCTGTTTGTCTGTATGTATGTATGTCTGTGTGTACGTATGTTCCGAATGAAAATTCCATTTCTGAACCGGAATTTTCTATTCGGAACATACGGCGGAGCCGGGTAAGCCAGCTAGTTTTTACATATTTTACTATATAGGACCCTCTAAGTAGGCCATTGCATCTAAGAAAAATTAGCTCAAAGTGATACGCGGAGAGCGATTTGGTACTCGCGGACAATTTCTCCAAATTCCCCCTTTACGCGTTTTGATATGTCCCTCCACTTGGCGTCCACCTTCATTGTGTTGCTGCCATTGTGGCGGAGGCTAAAGTGAGAAGGCACAACTCGTCCACGTTGGTTCCGCGGAGCCTCCAAAAAACGGGGTTTTTGGGAATTTCGAGCAGTTCCGACCAAATTTCGGTGAGATTGCCTTTAATCTGCTTAACCGCGTTCTAAAGAGGTGTGTGCTGGTCAGGTCCATGCACGGAGTACACAATATACAATCAGTGTCGTTGACATAAAAATGTAATGGTAAAACTATCTTACGTATTGAGTTATGATTTGATTTTCTTGACTTCTTCAGCCTGGCAAACACGGGGTTAGGATAATGAGAAGAACCAAAATGAGTGCGCGAATGGCTTTGAATGGCCTGGTCACAAGTTCAGACTCTTGTAGATTCCCACAGGTAGCGTCCACCCAGAATCTTGTCTTTCATGTTTTTATTGTAATCGGGCCTTTCCAGGGCACTGATTTCGGATAAGAGGTTCAAATTACTAGAAAGCCATATTGGCAGAGGTGGACGAGTGCTCCGCCGCCAGTCGGTCGTATGCTACAGGAAACCTCGTCGTATGCAACAGTGCCACATCACAAAATATGTGTCTCGACGTTGCTTGTCATGTCAGAACACGTCGTACTAATCTGTGAGAGAGGTTGAGCGCAAAGAGAATCCAGTAAAAAGGTTCGCATAGTCTTGCCAAACGACACCACACAACTCATGAACAGTACTTGTTTATCGTCGATTATCTCAAACTTGGGTAACCAAACAATGACAAATGACTTTCAAATAAACAAATATATGCATTTAGGCAACAAATGCGAAATAGGAGAGTGATTAAAGTATTATCCTGCGCACAAGGAATGAGCAGACACAAGAAAGGCAACCAAGCAATAGATAAAGTGATAGAAATGCATAACTAACAATGACTAAGTTTATATAAACGTTTGTTTGCTGGCTCCATCATTCCTTCTGCAGCTACAATCGTTTTTATCTGTAGTCCGAGGATCTTTTTTCAAAGGGAGTTTCGCATCGGACATCGAGGATTCATTGTGGCATTCCGCAACTTGCTTCTTTCTTTTGCAAGCATTCAAAAATATTGGGAGACTGCATTGATCCGCGAAACGAACGGTTCAGCTGGTATTACGGTGGTCATACTGTGCAACTCTCGTGCACAATATTGCTCAATTGCACCGCTTCCTGCGATATCCAAGTTCGTTATGTCTTTTTGTAGGAAACATTAGGAAACTGGACCGAAGCAATGTTCTACTTTTAGAGCTTGCTTATAGGATAAGTAGTAAGTTATGGCGAATAGATTTTGGGTGGACGCTGCCTTTGAGCACTTTAGTATAATGGAAGGCAATATCTGAGAAAAATTATGGTGGCGTTTTCACAATTGTTTTTTTTCACCAAAAACATCGAACAGCTTTTGATTTGCGTTACCAAAACGACACAGACACGAGCATGTCATGTATTTGTAATAAGACGTCATCCATAGAATATGTACGAAATATCTTCGACTCGAGAAAGGATGTAAACTTGTGATTCAGTGGATCGTTTGAGTTGGACTGCACGACACACCAGTACGGCGCACAATTTATCTCAAACATGGGTAATTAAACTACATCAAAATTATGGAATGCATAATATAGTGGTACGTAACAGTGGCGACAATATGCTTTATAGCTACTGTAAAAGGAAGGCACTGCTATAAAAAAGCGCATATGGCAAGCATACAAAGTGATTTGAAAGCGCATACAAAAATACAAAAGTAGAATAGGAGACTGCGCAAGGGAAAACTGATTACGTGGAGTGGCACTGCTGCGTTTGGACTCCATTCGCGGACCATCTCTTTTTATACATAGATCGAGGCTCAGTTCGGCTCACAAACAAGATTCTGTAAAGAATGAAGCATATATAACAACAAAGTTGTGAGAAGGCTTACAATTTCCGCTTCGAATGTGAGACTGTACTTGATAAGCATGAAAACTGTATCGCCTCAGTTGAAAAGCCTGCGAGTTTTACCGCGATACTCCCGGCGACTTATTGCGGCGCCGACCTTAGCGACGAGTGAGCTCTTCTTCGAACTCGCGAATGTTTTGTTCGGTTCGTCTTCGAGCTTCCCTCGCGCTCGTTAGGCGCGCCTCGATATCTTCGCTCACTTTCGGAAGATTGCGTATGGCCGAATGATGGCCGTAGCACCTACAATAAAAGAGAAAATCTTGTATCTTTCTGCAGTCCCTTCCGTCTGTGCAATAGGCTTCTAAACGTTATCGCATTTTCTTTGCTCCTTGAGTGTGTGCCTTCCGTCTGCTACGTTGCTGATGACGGAACAGAAGTCGGCATGATGACTTCCCACAGCTTCACAGAATGCGCATCTCGTACACTGATAAATCTTCGGAGTTAGAAGCTCCAAAACAGGTTATGACTATGCACTATTTTAGCAAGCAAATGAGCGTTTAAAGGTTTGGAATATCGAATTCCGAATTTTTTGAATGCAGCCTGGGACGCGTCTGAGAACAAAATTTGTAATAATTTTGTCCTCAAATATCATACAAATCAGAAAAAAGAAGTCGATCAGAGAGAGGAAAAAGCTGCATCGAACGCACCTTGGTTGCTATATATCTATTGTTCTGCGAGGATTGAAATATCTCAAGACGGAATTTGATACCATCAGAAAAATATGAGAAGCCAGCTAGCGATGCCAGAAAAATGTATTGTATTGCATTTTGTTCATTCTATCCAACTGTTGTCAAAGCTAGTCCAAAAGTTGAGAACGGAGTTCTTAAAAACTACCCAAACTGAAGACGGGTGAAAATCATGGGTAGGAGAGCTGATACTTGAGTGGACATTGAAGGAATCTGATTAAAAATACAATCGTTAGAAAGAGGAAGAAATTCTGCATCGGATAGCGCTTACAGCATTTGCTATCTTCATTGCAAGTTTTATAAGCATGGGTATGAAAAACGGCGCAAACTTTCGGACCTACCTAATACATGCCTTTAGCAGTAAGACTTTGCATTTTCACCCTTTTAGAAGAGTATATATTCCACGAGTGATATCGAATTTAGCTCTCTTTGTCCAAATTTTTCTTGCCTAGTGCCAGAAATTCAATATTTCTCTAAACTAGCTGCTGCAAAAAGCTGAAAATATACACTTATGCGTCTAAAGTCCTTTAGTATACAATTGTCAGTGCTAGAACATCTCAACATTGTTTAAAAAGAACACGAAGAACATCGTTTTCTGAATTTCTAGCTGAGAGAAAATTACAGCATCTGCATAAAGAAATGTCTTATAGAAATTCCATTGCATGAGCAGGTTAGAATTTTTGAGCGATTTTTTTGAACGGAGTTCCAAAATTTTCTTGGTTTTTGGGGCGCTAGGTCTTTTTCGTTTTTGGCTTCCATCTTCGCTTAGATGATAGCTGCTGCAAAACTTTAAGCCTTTCTTGTAGAGCTAGCCTTGCTTTATCGAATGCATTAGTATCGAATATATTAGGAATCATTTAGGATTCAGAAGAGTATGCCTTATTGCTGTCTGTACTTTGGTGCAAAATTATGCATCTACGTTATAGAATACAGTGCATTTTTTGAGAGATGGATCGCTTGAGACAGTCTGTCGATTACTTGACATAGCCCACTAATGAGAAGTTTTATGAAGACTTTTCTTCGTTATAGTATCTTGACATGTGAAATTTCACACAGTCCTTTCTTTGATGCTTCGGATAACTTTTGTAGCAACTTTTTATGATCTGTAGAGAAAGTTACTAATCTTTCCTTTCTTGTAATAAAGTTCAACCTTCTTACATCGGCCATTGAAGGGCGGTAGTTCTGACGTTTCTGTGGACCTCGATGACGACCAGCAAAGGCAGTCAGACATAACGCAAGCAAGAGGAAGTTGAATGCCAACATATCAACTTATTCTGAAAATAAAATGTGTTTTGCTCAGAGAGCGGATCATAAGCTAAAACAAATGCATTAAATAGCACTGACTTAAGCTATTCGTTTTTATGCATTTTGAGCTTTTAAGGAATGGATGTGTCATAGTCGTCCTCACCCCACTAGTCGGTCCGTGGACGGATTTGAGATCGAACAAGAGCAGGCCAGTGGCGGTCGAACGCGACATCTGAACCCTCGTTTAGGCTTTGCGCATGTTTCTTCTTTTATTGTAGCGTTTGTTAATTTCGTGTTATAATGTTCGTTTCAACATACTATTTTAATGCTGTCACTTCAAGTCTGAATAGAAATAATTACAGAAACAATACAGATGGGAAACCTCTGCTTTGATCTTTTTCTTTTGTAAGTAACACGTGTAGAAGTGTGGTTGTTCTAGTGATCAATGTCACAAAAGTTTGCCATCTGCATCGTTTTTAGAAGCTTAAACGAAATCCCCTAGACGGAAACCGAGCACAACCGCGAGAAACAACGCTCAACAATATCAAAACGCAAATTTGACTAGAAGCATTGACGTAATACATGAATTAACGAACAACGATGTAAGAAAAAGAGAGATATGCGTAATTTTGAAATGAGCGTTCGGGTGCTACGCTCTGCCGCGAACGGCCTGCTCCAGTTTGAATTGCTCCAATTTCGTCCACTGAGCCAACTAGTGGTTTGAGGATGGCTATATCAGGATGTCTCGTTTATTATCCATCTCAAGCAGTCTAATTTATACGGCAGTTTATTCACTGCTTTGCCCTCGACTGGTCCGTGTTTTTGACCGTTGTCGCCGGACAGTGTAGAACTCCTTGGTCCAGGACGCGTGGCACAGCGAGAATGTCTGGCATAAATCGCTTCCCCCCCCCCACCCCCAAGGACGATCTAAATCAGACGCCGTAGCATGAAACATAGGCGCGATAGTGTGAGAATTTGCTCACCCCCTCTTCACCCCTGAACCGGGACCAAGGTGACCCTCTTTACCATAAGCCGAGAAAAAAATCAACATTGAGGTCAGGCTAAGCAAAGGAGATATTTGTACGGGAACTGTTTGTGTTTTGGAAAAGAGGAAGAAGATTTATGGGGATTCAAGATCTTTCAGAAGGAAAAATAGTAGCTTCTGTAGTTGCACAGCAACGTCAGCGAGGAAAGTTCCGTGGAGCAATGTTTTGGAATAAAATGGAACACCCTTCTGGTTTCAGGGAATAAATAGTTTGAGAGTCCGTTCATAGAAGTGATTTCTGGACACTTACGAGTTTTCAACATGAAAAAATTCATGAATTTTGTAGATGAACAGATGGTACATGGAAATTACCACCGTCGGAGCCGCCTCGTCCTCCGCTTTCAGAAAATTTATAGCAAGTCCGAGATTCTTTTAAAAAAGTGCCTGGTTGAAGGGTGTGCCTAGTGATTTTTGAAGATATTCGAGTTTTTAAAATAAAAAATTTATGACATTTGTAGATGAACATCTTATACATAGAAATAGTCCTCCGCTTTCAGAAAATATATACTTTGCCTGGGGTCCGTCAAAAAAAGTGCTGGGTGAAGGTGGGTGAGACTTTTATAAAGGGAGTGCTCAAGTAGAAGTCTTTTCACAATGGTAAAAAAGCCTCCACTTGAGCACTCCCTTTATAAAAGTCTCACCCACCTTTCACTTGGCACTTTTTTTTGACAGATCCCAGGCAAAGCATATATTTTCTGAAAGCGGAGGACGAGATGGCTCAATTGGTGACTATTTCTGCGTATAAGATGTTCATCTACAAATGTCATGAATTCTTTACGTTAAAAATCAAATATCTTCAGAAATCACTAGGCACATTTTTCACCCAGATACTTTCTTGAATGGATCTCGGACATGCTATACAATTTCTGAAAGCGGAGGACGAGGCGGCTCCGATGGTGGAAATTTCCATGTACCAGCTATTTATCTACAAAATTTATGAATTTTTCATGTTGAAAACTCGTAAGTGTTCAGAAATCACTTCTGCGAACGGACTCTCAACTATTTATTCCCTGAAACCAGAAGGGAACGTTGTTCCACGGAACTTTCCTCGCTGACGTTGCTGTGCAACTACAGAAGTTACTATTTTTTCCTTCTGAAAGATCGTGAATCCCTATAAATCTTCTTCCTCCTTTCCAATACACAAACAATCCCCGTACAAATATCTCCTTTGCTTAGCCTTACCTCACTGTTGATTTTTTTCTCGGGTTATGGTAAAGGGGGTCACCTTGGTCCCGGTTCAGGGGTAAAAAGGGGGTGAGCAAATTTTCACACTATCGCACCTATGCACTACAGTCGACTCATTCTCCTCGTATAGTGAGCTTGCCATCCCGAGATGGTGCGGTAAAGTTTGCGCGTGAACAACTAGCTGTGACGCCGACAACCCGCGCGCGAAGTACCGGCATAACTGGCGTGGCTACTCGTTCTTGCGCAAATTTTACCGCACCGTTTCAGCACCGCGTGCACACTGTATTTAGCGAAAATCTACTCGAGTGTTCAGCAGATTTGTTCAGTAGATCTTCATGAACGAAACTTGAGGTTGAAATCTACCTTGAAAGCAAAACTTGTGGTAGACTACCCCAAAAGTTTGTTCATGAATACGAGCACTGCTTTTCAAATTCTCGACCTCTGGCTATGCTTACGCTAGACTTCAAGCGTTTGAGCTGTGCGCGATAGAGAGGTGTGAACAGACTGAGCACTCCATTATCATAGGATTTTGAAAGTTTTCCGTAAAGTTGGTCGAAACACGACAAAAACATCGAAGAAACAGAAGTGTACTGGTGAAAATGCGTTTCAACAAGTATTTATGGAGAAGTTCCGATAAAATTGCAATAATTTGTTTTTGATATAGGAAATTGGTAATTGCATTATGTATGGGCGAAATGGACGCGCTGAAGCATTACCAAGCAATGAGAAAGAAATCAAAGCTTCCAAACACCAATTCGAAACGCTAAAATATCCAGCAATAAAGTTGACAAAGGCATTAATAATTTCATGAACGTTTGGAAATGGCATGGCTATGGAATTCTAGAAAACACAAATAATCTTATTTTTGACATTTTTACACTTTCAATCCCAGTATTCTTCGCAGTGTCAAGTTTCTGTCTAAGTAACACGATTTGAGAAAGTGCCAATGCACTGCTATGGCAAAAAGTACAGCTCTTTACTTTGCAATACTCAAAACTTTTCAAAGGGCTAAAGTGGCCGTATTCATCAACCTATCCTGAGGGTAAACCCTATCCTCAAGGTATTTTACCCTCAGAGTTCATCGGCTAAATCCGAAGCCCTTGGGGGTTATATAGGTTTAACTCGGAAAGCGATTAAGCGTATGATCAGCGAATTTTGAGGGTGAATCCTACCGAGATTAAACCTTATCCCAAATAGCGATCAATCCGTATTCACGGACGTGGCTGGTTAGGGTAAATTTGAACCCTAGCATAGAGCACGATTAGATTCACTCTAACACTTCGTATAGACATCAATGATCTGAACGGCACTATCAGTCTTAGCTATATTTGGACAGTTAACAGATATTCAAGCTTACTAGTATCTCAAACTTTCTAAGGCCTCTTTTCGTGTTTTCGTTTGTTATCATCTGGTATCATATACGGCCGAGTTGTTATATTAAAAAGTTTAGTTTTGAATGAGGTATCAATGTCTCATAATTTTTTTTTGCCATTTTCATTACAACCGTTGTCTTTTTGTATCTTTGATGTGGCGTAAGTAATTAATCGACGAAGCAAAGCAAGTACCACAATTTGGCTATCAATAGTCTGCCCAATTCGTCTTATGTGGAGTTTTGAGCTGAAAACAAGAGCAAAACGAATTTCACCGTAAAAAATTGTATCAATGCTTCAAAAAATCTTTCAAATTTCCTATTCATCTTAGCTTAGCTTGACACATCAAACATTCAATTTGTACACTTTTCGTATTTTTTTCCATGTCTAGAAATAAAGAAAAAATGAATGGAGTAAAATGGCAGACTCCGTCCTTAGAAGTCCTGTGATTCTTCCACACATGTGATCATATAGCTTATACATAAAGAAGGACGATTGTGTACTTGTACCCTTTGTAGGTGCCCAATTCTCGAAAAAATGCTGATGTAGAAGGTAAAAACGGTAATTATGAGACACCCCAATGCATGTTTAACTAACGGCTTTTATGCGTGAACTAGTGAACCAGCAATCTAAAGGTACTATTGGCAAGAGCGTTCGCATCGAGACCGCGCCGCAGTTTCCCACTATGTGCACATTTTTGAATTGCGCTTACGATTCTTTATATTAGGTCGTTCCGAAAGTTCTTTCCGTTTTTTCAACCTATCAAAAAAACACGAGGAATGAAGGTAGAGAAACGCTTCAGGCACTATCCGACGCAGCTTTTCTTCCTCTTTTCAACTGTCATAGTCCTGTGCGGCTTTCTCTTATGATCAGTGAGATAATGGCCGAAATTTCGAACCCAAGGTTTTTACCATGTCCAACTTTGGCAATTTTTCGCTATCTTCTTTTTTGACTTTTGGAAAAGCTTTGATAGCAGTCGGATAAAGTAAACAAAATGCAATTTTATGCGATTTTTTGGCATCTATAGCTAGCCTCAAAACATTTTTAGAATTATTTTTCTGATGCTATCAAATTCCACTTTTGGGGATGCCAAAAGCCACAGAACATAATACGGCGCACAACTAAGATGTCATTTGATGCAGCTTTTTTCCTCTTTCTGATGAGTACTTTCTCTTAATATTTTGTGGGGTCTTTGGCGATAAAATTTCCATAAATCTTGATTTTGAACCCGCCTCATGATGTATCCGTGCAATGCAAAATCTTATATTTCGAAGCGGTAAACGCTCAGTTACTTTGTAAAAATAGTGTACAATCATAAACGACTTTTGAAAGTTTCGAAAACCGAAGATTTGTTGATGTTCAGAGCGTTTGTGTGTTTTGTGAGTTCGAAAAAGTGAAGACTTTTGAAAAAGTTATCTAAAAAAATAATGAGAAGCCGGCTGAAATCGCCAAAAAATTGCATTGCATTGCACTTTGTTCATTCTATCTGACTGCTATCAAAGCTTCTCCAAAAGTTGAGAAAGAAGATAGTGAAAAATTGCCAAAGTTGGACATGGTAAAAACCATAGGTCCGAAATTTCGGCCATTATCTCACTGACCACAATAGTAAACGGCAAACGAACATAACAGTTTAAAAGGGGAAGAAAAGTTGCGTCGGATGTTTTCTGAAGCGTTTCCCTACCTTCATTCCACGTGTTTTTATGATAGGTTAAAAAAAACGGAAAGAACTTTCGGAACGACCTAATATATTAGATATCGAGCTTAACAACTCGGAAAAATTTCGTAATATGAAACTCCCTCATTCAAATATTAATCCACCAATGTACTCATTCAGTAAATGATTTAATGCATGGATATAGCTACTATCGTAGCTCAACTAGATAAATTTGAAGCTGACCAACAAAATGTCAAAAAAGTCTGTCCTACTTGTTGTAATATGGTTAGACGGGATGAAAAGATGATTTAGGAAAATTGAGATAATAATAATTGAAAATGTGTGTTTGTTTCAAAACAGTGTCGTTGAGACTGACTGGTGCACAGAGAGTTATGTTTGTACAAAGTGTCAGGGTGTTTCCTTGCTCTGTGCTAGGGTTGAATCTTCCCTGATAAGCCACGCTCATGAATACGGGTTTATCCTTTTTCGAGGGAGAAAATCTATTCTGTGCCTCGTGAAAACGGGTTTTTTGAGGTAAAGCCTATCCTTGAGGGTAAGGTTTGCCCTCAG